TCCATGTTATTTTGAGATTCTTTGAGGTTCTTCAGTTGTACCATGGCGGTATAGTAGAACTAAGGTATCGAACCATGGTAAACCACTGATAAAGTCTAGGCATTTATCATTGAGTTCTGCGGATAGATGCTTAAAGGTTGTGTCATAATTTTTTATGTTCATAACTACTATTGTAATTACAATAGTTTTGTCCTTGATTGTAGCTTACCTGTTCATGTCAAATATTTTTCCTATAATATTACACTAGGAATTTGGCTCAAATATGTAGAAGATACTTTTGCTATTATTATCCCGACCGTTGTTGCTACCTTTACGTGGTGGTCGGGCTTGCCTATCGTGATGAAGCAACCGAGCTATACTGGCTGGAACAACCGTTCCTCAAGGTCCTACCATGTCAGACAGGTCGGTTGAAGAGCGGTAAGACTAAAAGCAGCAAACATAAGGTCCGAAGGCGAAGTCGTAATGCTAACTGTACAGGGGTGTGACAGCAGTAAGGTGTTTCCTTCAGACAACCAGCATGACAGCGATGCTGCCTTTCCACGAGGAGGGGTGAGGTTAGAAAAGGTCGACCCTAAAAATGCACACCTCACCTTACCTCACGGATTTCCGTCTCCGGCGGTAAGGCCCTTTGAAGAACGGAGCTAACATGCCAAAAACCTTCCACGAAAAGGCCGTGCGCGACCGGCCTCAAGCAGTTGTCCCTTGGGCACTGCGGTCACGCCCTCAGGTCGCTGAGACAACCTCTAATCCAATTTCCTTTTCAGGTACCTCCAGAAGAACCCTTCCACGGTGTGGGCAACCGGGAAGTGATAACCGTCCTCATACCTCTAACAGCACCCAAGACCATTGTATTCATAACCAACCTTCCTCTTTAATTCCTATTATTCCTCCTACATCGACTTTCAACCCTAAACTTCCTCCTTCGGCTTCCTCCTCAAGTGTCACCATAGCCAACGATTCTAGTGCTCAAAATTCTGTCCCAGGTCTACTGAAACCTCGCTCCAAACTACACATTGGAGCTTTCAAAGTACGCACTCTATGTCAAATCGGTCAGCAGGCTTCCTTGGCTAAAACCCTAGAGTCTCAGACATAGTACTCGTAGGGATGTGACTTTAATGCTCAGATAGGTAGCTTGAACCACACAGAAAGGCATTTAGGTGGATATTTTAGCATTCCGGCACAGCGAACAGATAATGGTGACCGTCTGCTTCAACTGTGCTCAGACAATCGCTTATTTTTAGCAAACACATTTTAAGCATAAGGAGAGACATCGTCTAACATGGCGACCCCCTACACCAAACCAACGATGGACTCAAATAGACCATATTGCCATCAGTCATCGTTGGAGAGGGTCGGTAGAAGATTGTCGCTCATTCTGGAGTACCTGCTTGGACTCCGACCACGCCCTAATACGGGCACGCATCTGCTTGCGCCTCACCGGACGCAAAAAAGTCACATTGAAAAGACCCATTAGAACTAAGTTGAGTAACGAGAAAACCAAAAATAGGTTCCAAGAACAACTGAGTTCACACTTAGGTAATTCTGAAGACGAGGCTGACCCAGATGTTGCTTGGAAAGACATACAAGCAGCTGTGGAAGCAGCAGTGACATCTATTAGCGACTTAAACCACAGAGTTTCAAAGAACCAGTGGATTTCTTCAAAGTCTATCACATTGATGGATTCTCGCAAACTCGTCCCATCAGGTTTCGAACATGATGAAGAGCGACAGCAAATCAGATCTAGGTTAAGAAAAAGTCTAAGAAACGACTGTGAGCAGTGGTGGGCAACGAAAGCAAAAGAGATGGAAAAGGCGGCGACTATAGGGAACACAAGACAACTTTACAGACTAATAAAAGAAACTGGAATTAATAAGTCAAGTGTAAGTGAGATTATATCGGAAAAAGACGATACACTCATCTGCTCCCAGTCCAGGCGTTTAGAACGATGGGCGGAACATTTCAGAGAACAGTTCAGCTGGCCTTCAGCTACTCTACAACTACCCTCCATTCCCAGACAGCGTGAATGGAACATTGAAGTAGGTCCCCAACTCTAGCAGAAGTTCATAAGGCTATAGATAATCTGAAACGAGGAAGGGCTGCTGGTCCAGATGGACTGGCTCCAGAAGTCTTTAAGGATGGTGGTCCAATTTTAGCGATTAGGTCGACTAGTATTTTAGCTAAGATCTGGGAGTTAGACGTTATTCCATCTGACTGGTCACAATCACTTATCGTCCCAATATATAAGAAAGGGTCAAAATCATCCTGTGACAACCACAGAGGGATTAGTTTAACTAATATAATATCTAAAATACTAGCCTCGATAATTAACAGACGCCTAACTAAGACTCGTGAACTGCAAACACGAGAAAACCAAGCTGGCTTCAGACCTGGTCGTGGCTGCATCGACCACATATTCACCATTCGTCAGGTTCTAGAACACAGGCATACTTATCGGCGTCCGACGACGGTGGTCTTTCTTGACTTAAAAGCAGCATTTGACTCTGTAGACCGCGAGATTCTGTGGCAGTGTCTGTCATTGAAAGGCGTACCCCAGAAGTGCATAAACCTTGTGAAGGCTCTTTACTCGAACACTACTAGTCGAGTGAGAGCTTATGGCGAACTGTCATCTACTTTTGCAACCTCAAGTGGTGTCCGTCAAGGATGTCCACTTTCCCCGTTTTTGTTTAACTTCATCATAGACATACTGATGGAAATAACTTTCTCGTCGACTGAGTTCTCGGGTATTGATCTCCATCCAGGAGGTCCACTTATCGACTTAGAATACGCAGATGACATAGTCCTGTTTGGTGAAGACGCTGACAAAATGCAGAGTCTTCTGGTAGCACTGAGCAACAATGCAAGGATGTTTGGAATGCGCTTCTCTCCCTCGAAATGCAAGTTGTTGCTTCAGGACTGGTCTGCGTTAACACCTGAACTAAGGATAGGGAGTGAAGTAGTCGAACGCGTTGACAACTTCACTTATCTTGGAAGTCTGATCAGCCCTAATGGGTTGGTATCGGACGAAATCCCAGAACGGATTCGAAAAGCTCGTTCGGCTTTTGCCAACTTACGTCACCTGTGGCGAAGGCGAGATATCCGTCTATCAATAAAAGGACGAGTATACTGCGCGGCAGTCCGTTCTGTTTTACTTTACGGTAGCGAAACATGGCCATTAAGAGTAGAAGACACTCGTAAGCTACTAGTATTTGACCACAGATGCCTTAGAAATATTGCTGGCGTCTGCTGGGATAACCGGGTAAGTAATAGTGAGGTTAGAGGCAAGGTATTAGGAAATGATGGTAAATCAGTTGATGAGGTTATGAATATTCATCGACTGAGATGGTTGGGCCACGTGCTATGTATGCCCGAACACCGATTACCACGTCGTGCAATGCTATTCGGTATTGGAAATGGTTGGAAGAAAGTTAGGGGCGGCCAAACCAAAACGTGGCATCAGTGCTTGAAGTCACTAACTTCTAGTCTGAGCCATGTTGGTAGATGCAGACTACTTGGTTGGGGTCCGCGTGACTATCGTAACCGATGGTTGGAGACTCTTGGTGACATGGCTCAGAATTGATCACAATGGCGTCGGTGTATACACTCCCTGTCTTCCCTTAAACTAAGAGATTAAAATCGCTTCATATCTTTCTTTCTACGAACCAATTCTTTCTTCTTGTACTATATCTCTATATGCAATCTTTCTCTTATATATTACCACCTTTTACCTAACCACTGTTATAAATCTGGTGTTCATCTTGTTGCGTTGATGCGGTATGGCAACCTGGACCGATGCACATATGTGCCTGGTCCTACGTTGTAGCTGACTGACTAGTATCGAAAAGTTATCCCTAAGAACTCCAAAAAACCAAAACAAAACAGGATTAAAACAAACTACAAGGCAGCTGATACTCTTTGAAATGATTTTGTCCCTTTATTGAATAAGATCCCCTTTATATCAAAACTAAACCGTATATACGGATTAGTGTGTCGATTGTTTTGAACATTCTATACATTTTAATCAAATTAGTTGACTCATACTTCAATTTAATATTATTCGTTTCCTGAGTATTCAGTCAAATAATCAACATTGTGACCCTTCTAGTTTTCATTCAATATTCAGTAGTCAGCTATAACGTAGGACCAGGAACATATATGCATCGGTCCAAATTGCCACACCCCACTCATTAGCACAACAAGATGAACACCAGATTCATAGAAGTAATCAATTCAATGGTGGTAATTTAGAAGAGAAAGATATGAGGCAGTTTTAATCTCATAGTTTAAGGGAAGACAGAGAGTGTATACACCGACACCATTGTAATCGATTCTCAGCCATGTCACACACACACACAGTCTCCAACCATTGGTTATGATAGTCACGCGGACTCCAACAAAGTAGTCTGCATCTACCATCCACATGGCTCAGACCAGCAGTTATTAACTTCTTGGACTGATACCACGTTGTGGTTTGGCCACCCCTAACATTCTTCCAACAATCGCCAACACTAGTCAGCATTGCGCGTCATGGTAATCGGTGTCCAGGCAGGCATACACAACACGTGACCCAACCATCTCAGTCGATGAAGATTCACAACCTCGTCAACTGATTTACCATCATTCTCTAATACCCTGAGTCCAACCTCACCATTACTTGTTCGGTGATCCCAGCAGATGCGAGTAATATTTCTAAGACATCTGTGATCAAATACTAGTAGTTTACGAGTATCTTCTGCTCTTAGTGGCCACGTTTTGCAGCCTTGAAGTAAAAGAGAACGAACTGCTGTGCAGTATACTCGTCCCTTAATTGATAGACGGATATTTCGCCTTCGCCATAGGTGACAAAAGCGTCAAGAATATGGTTCGAATGGACAGGATGAAAAACTATTTGTGTATATGTGTGAAGAAATACCACAACGTACGATATGGGGCAAGATAAAAGAAATTAATCTGAGACAATCTCCCTAAAAATAAGTAACTATGCAATCATATTACATAAGGTATAAAAGAAAAATAACATTTTTATAACGAAAGATCGTATTTCTAGAAATATACATATGTACAAGACAAGGAAATATAAAAAAGTGCACGACACAGTTTAAATACATTATATATATATATATATATATATATATATATATATATATATATATATATATAGAGAGAGAGAGAGAGAGAGAGAAGTTAGGAATTATGATACCGTTTGTTCATTTCCTCCACCTCCTCGACCAAGCATACCTAAAAGGAGGTAAACAAATATGAATATAAGGCAACCATCCGATTGCATTATCATGAGATATATATGACGTACAAACACGGGTAATCCGAATCGCTACTCACTGATGAAATAAAGTATTTCTTTATAATCCACTTGGTAGGTATACAAATATATGTAAATGGTGGAGTTACAGTTTAGTTGTACAAAGGTAAATGGAGTGAGATTCAAACTTAAGAACTAACGGTTGCTAGTCGAAAGAATAAACTATTTCAGAAAATTTAATTAGTTTACGAGTAAAATTGTTTAAGAATAATAATATCACCTGACGATTTTATGCAAGCATATGAGAGTTGTGTGGAATTTTCAACTATTTATCTAAGAATTCTTGACAACGCGCTATCAGGCTGGGTGAGTGGGTCTAGACATATTACTTCCCTATGTCTCAAAGCTAAGAGGTACGTGAGAAGTCATAAGCGAGCCACGCTATTAAGGAACAGTGATTGTGCTTCTAGTCAAGGTTTTACCCTGGATATTCTTATTTGGGTTAGAAGGACACATGCATTAATACCAATAGCTTTTGAACAAGTTAATTCAGTTTTTGTCGATTAAATCATCCTAGTCATTTCAGTCTCCTCACTTGCATAGCTTGTTGGGTAAGTGTATGGGAAGCGTGTTTACCTTAATTGAATGTCCATGATCATAACACAAACACTTGACCCTATTTACAGAACAACTTACAAATTTTAAAGTTTCAGTGAGTGTTATTATTGATGATACATCTGTCAATATCTAGATACTGATAGACAACAGTGAAACCAACACTTGACCAGTTACCGGAAATCTCATTTTTTTATATACAAGCGACCCGTTCTATATGAGGCAATGGCAACCGTTAATGCAGAAAACTGTAGCGCCTGAAAAATGTGAATGTTTTGAAATCAATCCACTTTCTTGCCAGCTGAATCTATTTTGTTGTCCATAGGAAATCACGTTTAAAATATTAACCGATTATTTAACTGACCAGGACGAAATTTTCGACGTATATCAACATTGATTTTATGGGAAAAAATGTTAACAAGATGAACAGTGAGATAAATGCATCATCATAAGATTGAAATTTATCAACAACTTTGAAAAGTTGAAAAATTTGACAAAATTTCAAACTTAAACTACATACTGTGATTTTTTTCAATACAGCATACTATCCTATTGTGAAAAGATAGCATCATATATCCTACTTCAAATTATGGATATTCAGTTGGGATATATGGTGTCATATTAAATTATACACCCTATAAGCAAACTACATATGCAATCTGAATGCTCATAATAAAGAGAAAAGTGTACTATATCCGTACTAAAAAGTATTGAAACAAATAATACGTACATTATAAGCAAAGATGGATAGTGGCTAGCAGTGTAATCCAGGACGTACGTTTCGTCCTATCTGGGACTCGTCAGCTAGATGTACTTGCATCCCAGAGTTGATGTTCACTCTGGGACTCGAATACAGTACCGTCCGCTCTAAACGCCATCTTTGCTTATAATGCTTGTGAATTAAGGCAATATCGAGGCAATACGCAGAGTATGCACATATGCAAATCGCAGTCCTAAACAGTGATGGGAAGATTCAAATAAATAATACCAAGTGAATTTAAATAATACGTACCTTCTTAATTTATAAAACTAGAGACAAAAATAATATGGGAGAAAGTTGTTTTTTTCACCTTCATATATTTTACTCAAATGTATACGTATACACAACCATAAATTAAATAGTATATATTTTGATAATCCAGCACGTATTCGAATGAATATGTTCAGTTAATTTAAACAATAAATTAGTCACAGCGAATCCAACCTATTATACAATAACAAGAGATTGAACTAATCAACTTATGATACTTTATGTGACTTTAAATGACCTACTTACATCATAACTATGTAATTCTTGAAACATGTTAAGAAGGAACTATCTGACATTTGAGAAGAAAAATGCCTATGAAGTAATCTACATTACGTATTCAAAAAACTCTGACATACTTTTTCAAAGGTATTAATAAGCTACACTATTAATTTGGATTGGAATACAATAAAAAATTAAGTCTCAGATTATTTTCAAGTGAACATTTTTGTGTTCATCTAGTTGTTGATCAGTCTACTAGTTAACAGAATCATAAAAATTACCTCATCAAATGTAACGGATCAATAGGTTTGGTTGACTAGATCTATCTGAATATTTTCTCACGAAGACCTTTCAATTTTCCTGGGTCTATAACGAAAGGTGAATTTAATCAAACTGCTATTTGTATACGTGATCAAAAAATACGGTACTCACTAATTATATTATTTACTAAACCTGTGTCATTTTTTGTATCCCTTCTTTATAAACGTGTGCTTTGAATTCGTTCATATTGAAATGTGTAGCGTATATACCTATATTTCAGATCCATTTATGATTTTCCATTGTGAATTTATGAACTAGGTTAGTTGACAAATAATGATATCCAATTTATTATTAATTTAAACACATAAATATTAGTACAAGGAGGCACCAAATAGGTATGCTTCACATAAATCATTCAATATGTGTAAGGGCTGAGATATTGCCCAGGTGACAAACCGAAGCAGGTGGTTTCCTTAGGGAGCCACACCCGGAGCCTTCGATTTAAAGTCTGGTCCACAAGGCAGTGGAGCAACGTCAGGAGATGCAGTCCCATGGTAGCCGGTGACCAACGATTGGTTCATACGCCGTTTGTTTCCTTAGGATACTGGAGTCTATGTGCACCATTGGTTTTGAATCAGGGTTTTCCAACTCCCCTAGGTGAACTTTCCGTGTCCATCAACCCCGCTAAAGCTCTGGTCAGTAGATTTTTGTCTTCTCAATTTCGTAAACAACACCCTCATCACGAGAAGGCAGTGAGTAGGACTTCCCTAACAGTACTTGTATGCAAGTGGCCATGTGGGAGTATTTCGACAGGGAGAGCTGACTCTCTACACTTTCGGCCGTACCAGGGTATTTGGGGGTAATGAAAATATACACTAATTTTCGAAAATCAATCATTTTTCCGTCCGTGTATGTCTTATTAGATAAAGTATCAAAATACTAATTTGTGTCAAAACGACCAATTTATTTACAAAAAATATCTTTATCAATGTTTTTCTGCTTACAGTCGGTAAATGACTAATAACAGTATATTTTAATTATTATTGAAGTGATTGGTTTAAAAGCTGATCCAGCTGTAATTTAGACACTCAAATAGCAGGCATCATTAGACCTTACATAAAAGTATGGCTTTAAGTTGAATACACCAACTTGTAATTGGTTACTGAGATAGATTTCATTAAAACACATGGTTAGTAATCATTTCCTATTATATAACAGCTCAGTGGAGTAATGGTTGAATCAGACATCTGGTTACTTAAATCAAAGTCCTGACTGAAATCCATCGACCATAATATGCCAAGTACGTACAATACTAAATAAAGTGAAACTACAATAAAATTTATTTCGATATCTGTAAACACACTCGTCCGAAAATGTTGTCCTTATGTAAAAATTCTCAACACCTTAAATTTAGATAGGATTTGTGTGATGCTGATAGATGACTATTCAATTACAACAATGCACCTGCACATTCATAAGTGATTGTTCGTGAGTTTCTGTGATTCAATTCATCACGTCAGATAATCTTTATTACTAGCTAGACTGAGTTCCGTGTAATTTCTTTTGATCCACGAAATTCAAAATGGTCATGTGAGAGCAACAATGGTATGATAAGAACAATAAAGTGTGAAGGACTAAGTAACAGAAATGTATGGCTTTTAAGTTGCTCCAGAGATGTTTTCAACAATTCAAACGAATATGGGATAAGTATACTGTCACAAATGGAGAGTATTCTAAACGGTATACGATTAGCATAACCCAAATTTTTGTGACCTTAGTTCGGTTATTAACTAGGTATGCTGTGTAAATTAAAGAATAATTACATTACTTATACACTAATTCCAATTCATATAAACGATGTTCAGTTACCGTTTGTGGAAAATGAGGATTCTAATTCAGAACATGTTTTCAAATGAGTCAGATTGGAACATACAAGTGTTGGGTCTACTTTTATTCACGATTCAAATCAGTAGTGAAAAGAGTGTGAGAGGTAACGCATGAGACTCGGTCAATTCAATAAATAGTAAACTGAGAGTCAATACATCAGGTGACAGAAACAATAGCTTGACTACCTGATAAATATAATTAATGTTAAACATTTAATAATGAGAATACCAGTAACGATTGGAAACGAATTCATTAAAAATAATCGATTCCATATATTTTGTAATGTGAAAAATTAAAATCAGTAATACCTCGAAAATCGATAGGAATAGTCCCAGTACGTTCCATTTCTAAAATGTGCTGATGGATTTCACGTAAACGTTTCTCATAATCCATATTTGTCCATACAGATACCAAAAGAACAGCTCTTCCAGCTATATGAGTGACCACTGTCATTAAATCACCTTTAGAAGATAATCGGAATTGATATCGTCGACCATCAATCAAAATTTCCTCGAAATGATAAATATTATAATGATCTAGATTGATATACTGGAACTTGTCTGAGAAAACTTCTTGGAGAGTATCAGCTTTAGCTTCAGGTAACTCAACTGACATGACCAATCTTAAACAAAAATTTACACAAAAGTTCGCAAATTTTAAAAGGATTCACTATTCACTGGTAGCAAAAGCAACTACCATACGACAGTAATAATTTAATAAATTGGATGGACCGAGCTATTTTACAGTGTTACGACAGCGTCATCCATTTTTCAAACATCTAGTCAACTTTTTCGAAGAGTTGAAATAATAAGTTATCATTCGATCTAGAGGTTTTTAATTTGGTTAAGTTGGTCGCTCTTGACTCTCCATGGAGTTCAGAACACTTGTAAAAATTTTTAAATAAGCAAGCACGTTGATGCGTTTGTGTACTGTGCTAATAATTGGAGACTCCAACTTTAATACCGTGAACAAAATGACTTTAATCCCTTTCTTTCTCCTCCTCCACTAAATAGAGTAAAGACACAAGTTCTACAGAGGAAGTTTTTGATCTTGAACTAGTTACATACCAAGAAAAAATGAATAGAATATTTAAAGTATTTGTCATTGACACAAACCGTTGTAAAGGTATTGAAATTCCATGTATGGTGCTCACACTAAATAATTTGCTGTAACACAATTCCGATCTAATTGATATTAATTTACTTCGTATAGGTTGTGGTTTGAGATCGTACATCGCCAACACATATACGACACAGGACCAGTTTAAGTTGGGACTTCAAATCAGCCAGAAACAACTGTTATTGTTCATAAACCTTAAAATAAACCTATAAACTGAATGAAATCTATAAATGTATTGTTCTTCAATGAACACCCCACCGTAGCCACTATATTGACGTTGTAGTGAGGCTTGCTTATCGTAGTGACCCAATCGAGCTATATTGTGTGGAACAGTTATTCCTTTAGGTCCTACCACGTCAGGTAGGTTGGTTGGGGAACAGTAAGTCTAAAAGCGGCAAATTTATGGTTCAAAGAGGTCGTGCTGCCGACTGTGCTAAGGTGTGACGATAGTAAGTTGTTTCCTTCAGACAATCAGCACTTAGAGTGATGCTGCCTTCTCACAACGAAAGGAATGGCTTGGGAAAGGTCGGTCCTAAAAAGACTAAGCTTACCTTACTACACAACTCTTCGACGCCGAACGCAAGATCTTTTGGAGTACAGAGCTAACACATCATAAGCTTCTAGCAGAAAAGCCGTGTGTGATAAACCTTAAGTAGTTGTTCCTTGGGCTCTATAGTTACGCTACCAGGTTGCTACAATCACTAATAACCTAGCTTCCTTTCAGGTTCCTCAAAAAGAAATATCCTTCCATAGTACGTGCAGCTGGTAAGTGAAAACAACCCTCATATATCTAACAGTACTAGAGATCCTTTTGTTCAATATCAAATCCGTTTATTACTTTGTAATATTTCATTTGTGTCCACACCACCAACGCTCCTCTCTAATGACTCAATCCTTATGTGCCACTAATGCTAACTATGCGAGTACAAACAATGTTGCTTTCGGTCTCTTAAAAAAGCACTCTAAACGACGTGCTGCATCGCTTTATGTTTGAACCTTACGTCAAGTGGCTCAACATGCGGCAGTGATTTATCTAACTTCACTTCTTTTGCATCTATAACAATCTCTACTAGTCCCGTAACTTAAACCTAAAGGTTAGAAAAAATCCGTGGATTCTGGCGGGATCTACTAAACCAATATACGCTCGGTAAATCACCTCGTCCGGCTTCGAACACGATGAGAAGCAGAGGCAGCTTAAACTTACTCAATGATCGTGGGGAGCGGTCAGTAGGGAAGACAGTAGAGCTAGAAAAGGCAGTGGTGATAGGTGAAAATAGTTAACTGATAAGGTTTATCACGCAAACGGGCATTAAAAATCTAACTGTTAGTGAGACTATCTTGGAAAATAATTATACTGTTATTCACTTTCAATTCAGGAGGTTGGACCGATCAGCAAAATGCCTTAGCGGCCTTCAGTCACCTGTCACTTACCCACTATTACAAAGCAATATCAATGGAAAATTAATGTAAGTTCTTCGACTCTTGGTGAAATTGTAGAGGCTGTAGATGATCCGACCTAAGAGAGCATCAGAGCCTGATGGATTAAGTCCTCAGATCTTTAGGGATGTTAGTCCAGTTTTACCGGTCAAGTTAACTGAAATCTTAGCTAGAACCTGAGAACTGCATGAAATCTCATCTGACTGGTCTCGATCGCTGATCATCTCAGTCAGTCAGCTACAACGTAGGACCAGGCACATATGTGCATCGGTCCAGGTTGCCATACCGCATCAACACAACAAGATGAACACCAGATTTATAACAGTGGTTAGGTAAAAGGTGGTAATATATAAGAGAAAGATTGCATATAGAGATATAGTACAAGAAGAAAGAATTGGTTCGTAGAAAGAAAGATATGAAGCGATTTTAATCTCTTAGTTTAAGGGAAGACAGGGAGTGTATACACCGACGCCATTGTGATCGATTCTGAGCCATGTCACCAAGAGTCTCCAACCATCGGTTACGATAGTCACGCGGACCCCAACCAAGTAGTCTGCATCTACCAACATGGCTCAGACTAGAAGTTAGTGACTTCAAGCACTGATGCCACGTTTTGGTTTGGCCGCCCCTAACTTTCTTCCAACCATTTCCAATACCGAATAGCATTGCACGACGTGGTAATCGGTGTTCGGGCATACATAACACGTGGCCCAACCATCTCAGTCGATGAAGATTCATAACCTCATCAACTGATTTACCATCTCAGTTTATAAGAAGGGACAAAAATCCTCTTGTGACAATCACAGAGGAATCTGTTTAACTAAGATGTCTAAAATATTAGCCTCGTTAATACTTCGACGTTTAATTAGAGCTCGTTAGGAGCAAACCCAAGAAAACCAGGCTGGTTTCAAACGTAAACGAGTATGTATAGACCGAGTATTCACCCTTCACCAGGTTCTGAAACATAGACATACCGTTCGATGTCCGATTATAGTTATATTTCTTGACCTTAATACGGAGTTCAACTACGAGGATCATGAGGTTCTGTGGCGGTGTCTATCATTGAAAGATATCCCAAAGAAGTACATTAACATTATACAGGCTCTCTTCTCGAACATTTCTAGTTGAGTCAGAGCTTGTGGAAAACTATCCGGGTCATCTGCTTCTTCCATTTTTATCCAACTCGTCGTTGACATGTTATTAAAAGTAACACTTCGATTGCTTACCTTTTCAGGAGTTTTCCTATCGGGAGATTCACTTGTTGACTTGGAGTACCTCGATGATATAGTTCTGTTTGGTGCTGACACAATGCAGTCTTCTGACCACAATTAGAAATACCATTCGCGCTTTAATTCTCAATCTCACAAGTCATACACAAGACCACTTGTTAATACTCATTTTTACGCCCGACCGTTGTTGCTACCTTGACGTGGTGGTCGGGCTTGCCTATCGTGATGAAGCAACCGAGCTATACTGGCTGGAACAACCGTTCCTCAAGGTCCTACCATGTCAGACAGGTCGGTTGAAGAGCGGTAAGACTAAAAGCAACAAACCTAAGGTCCGAAGGCGAAGTCGTAATACTGACTGTACCTCCAGAAGAACCCTTCCACGGTGTGGGCAACCGGGAAGTGATAACCGTCCTCATACCTCTAACAGCACCCAAGACCATTGTATTCATAATCAACCTTCCTCTTTAATTCCTATTATTCCTCCTACATCGACTTTCAACCCTAAACTTCCTCCTTCGGCTTCCTCCTCAAGTGTCACCATAGCCAACGATTCTAGTGCTCAAAATTCTGTCCCAGGTCTACTGAAACCTCGCTCCAAACTACACATTGGAGCTTTCAACGTACGCACTCTATGTCAAATCGGTCAGCAGGCTTCCTTGGCTAAAACCCTAGAGTCTCTTTCCATTGATGTATGCTGTGTCTCCGAAACACGCATACAGGATTCCAGTGTGGTCATTCACTTGACCTCACCTCGGCAAAACGGAGAGCCAACGAGATACACCCTACGTGTATCTGGTGACCTGATGGCCAGTTCTCGTGGACTGGCAGGTGTAGGCATAGCACTAAGCATGAGGGCGGAACAAGCACTGCTAGAGTGGATCCCCGTCAACAGTTGTCTATGTGCTGTTCGGCTAAACGGCTCCGTAAGAACTCGGAAGGATAGGGACACACGTCGTTGCCTTTTTGTCGTTTCTGCCTACGCTCCCACTGACTGCAGCTCAGATGATGTGAAAGATGAATTTTACAGAAAGCTTTCTGAACTTCTTCAGAAAGCTAAACGCTCAGACATAGTACTCGTAGGGGGTGACTTTAATGCTCAGATACGTAGCTTAAACCACACAGAAAGGCATTTAGGTGGATATTTTAGCATTCCGGCACAGCGAACAGATAATGGTGACCGTCTGCTTCAACTGTGCTCAGACAATCGCTTATTTTTAGCAAACACATTTTAAGCATAAGGAGAGACATCGTCTAACATGGCGACCCCCTACACCAAACCAACGATGGACTCAAATAGACCATATTGCCATCAGTCATCGTTGGAGAGGGTCGGTAGAAGATTGTCGCTCATTCTGGAGTACCTGCTTGGACTCCGACCACGCCCTAATACGGGCACGCATCTGCTTGCGCCTCACCGGACGCAAAAAAGTCACATTGAAAAGACCCATTAGAACTAAGTTGAGTAACGAGAAAACCAAAAATAGGTTCCAAGAACAACTGAGTTCACACTTAGGTAATTCTGAAGACGAGGCTGACCCAGATGTTGCTTGGAAAGACATACAAGCAGCTGTGGAAGCAGCAGTGACATCTATTAGCGACTTGAACCACAGAGTTTCAAAGAACCAGTGGATTTCTTCAAAGTCTATCACATTGATGGATTCTCGCAAACTCGTCCCATCAGGTTTCGAACATGATGAAGAGCGACAGCAAATCAGATCTAGGTTAAGAAAAAGTCTAAGAAACGACCGTGAGCAGTGGTGGGCAACGAAAGCAAAAGAGATGGAAAAGGCGGCGACTATAGGGAACACAAGACAACTTTACAGACTAATAAAAGAAACTGGAATTAATAAGTCAAGTGTAAGTGAGATTATATCGGAAAAAGACGATACACTCATCTGCTCCCAGTCCAGGCGTTTAGAACGATGGGCGGAACATTTCAGAGAACAGTTCAGCTGGCCTTCAGCTACTCTACAACTACCCTCCATTCCCAGACAGCGTGAATGGAACATTGAAGTAGGTCCCCAACTCTAGCAGAAGTTCATAAGGCTATAGATAATCTGAAACGAGGAAGGGCTGCTGGTCCAGATGGACTGGCTCCAGAAGTCTTTAAGGATGGTGGTCCAATTTTAGCGATTAGGTCGACTAGTATTTTAGCTAAGATCTGGGAGTTAGACGTTATTCCATCTGACTGGTCACAATCACTTATCGTCCCAATATATAAGAAAGGGTCAAAATCATCCTGTGACAACCACAGAGGGATTAGTTTAACTAATATAATATCTAAAATACTAGCCTCGATAATTAACAGACGCCTAACTAAGACTCGTGAACTGCAAACACGAGAAAACCAAGCTGGCTTCAGACCTGGTCGTGGCTGCATCGACCACATATTCACCATTCGTCAGGTTCTAGAACACAGGCATACTTATCGGCGTCCGACGACGGTGGTCTTTCTTGACTTAAAAGCAGCATTTGACTCTGTAGACCGCGAGATTCTGTGGCAGTGTCTGTCATTGAAAGGCGTACCCCAGATGTTGGGATATTCAGGAAAATATCCCAGAAATTATCCTATTAAGCCTAATGCTATTCTTGGACTTGGACATGGTATTATTTTCTTATTGGTCAGTACTTATTCCACGTGTCATTTTCCTACTGGCCAATATTGTACAATGTTATTTTCTATTTTATGGTATGATGTGGTTTGTTTGACTGGTATATAAACAAAGTATGTTTGAAATATAATGATTCATATATCCGAGGCTGTGACTTGCGTTCTGGACTCAACTGCTGGGCTAGATAGGGAAGTGGGACCAATCAGAACCCTAGGTCGTTCTACCTGTCTGCGCGTCTTTGGTCCGATCGATATTTCGCTACCCTCTAATCTGCTGCCGTTCACAGTTATAACACCAGAAGTGAATAAACCTTGTGAAGGCTCTTTACTCGAACACTACTAGTCGAGTGAGAGCTTATGGCGAACTGTCATCTACTTTTGCAACCTCAAGTGGTGTCCGTCAAGGATGTCCACTTTCCCCGTTTTTGTTTAACTTCATCATAGACCTACTGATGGAAATAACTTTCTCGTCGACTGAGTTCTCGGGTATTGATCTCCATCCAGGAGGTCCACTTATCGACTTAGAATACGCAGATGACATAGTCCTGTTTGGTGAAGACGCTGACAAAATGCAGAGTCTTCTGGTAGCACTGAGCAACAATGCAAGGATGTTTGGAATGCGCTTCTCTCCCTCGAAATGCAAGTTGTTGCTTCAGGACTGGTCTGCGTTAACACCTGAACTAAGGATAGGGAGTGAAGTAGTCGAACGCGTTGACAACTTCACTTATCTTGGAAGTCTGATCAGCCCTAATGGGTTGGTATCGGACGAAATCTCAGAACGGATTCGAAAAGCTCGTTCGGCTTTTGCCAACTTACGTCACCTGTGGCGAAGGCGAGATATCCGTCTATCAATAAAAGGACGAGTATACTGCGCGGCAGTCCGTTCTGTTTTACTTTACGGTAGCGAAACATGGCCATTAAGAGTAGAAGACACTCGTAAGCTACTAGTATTTGACCACAGATGCCTTAGAAATATTGCTGGCGTCTGCTGGGATAACCGGGTAAGTAATAGTGAGGTTAGAGGCAAGGTATTAGGAAATGATGGTACATCAGTTGATGAGGTTATGAATATTCATCGACTGAGATGGTTGGGCCACGTGTTATGTATGCCCGAACACCGATTACCACGTCGTGCAATGCTATCCCGTATTGAAAATGGTTGGAAGAAAGTTAGGGGCGGCCAAACCAAAACGTGGCATCAGTGCTTGAAGTCACTAACTTCTAGTCTGAGCCATGTTGGTAGATGCAGACTACTTGGTTGGGGTCTGCGTGACTATCGTAACCGATGGTTGGAGACTCTTGGTGACATGGCTCAGAATCGATCACAATGGCGTCGGTGTATACACTCCCTGTCTTCCCTTAAACTAAGAGATTAAAATCGCTTCATATCTTTCTTTCTACGAACCAATTCTTTCTTCTTGTACTATATCTCTATATGCAATCTTTCTCTTATATATTACCACCTTTTACCTAACCACTGTTATGAATCCGGTGTTCATCTTGTTGTGCTGATGCGGTATGGCAACCTGGACCGATGCACATATGTGCCTGGTCCTACGTTGTAGCTGACTGACTGACTGACTGACTCATTTTTACTTTACATTGAGTCACTTGTCCATTTCTTTATTTTGCAACTCAAAGTAGGTCACCTATGGTGGAAATCTTGCTTTATTTAAACGATTTCAAGTCAATGACTGGTCGAAAGTTGAATGCTATCACTATGAATTCCGAACCAGCCTTTCTGAAACCACGTATGCCATTCGAACTGGCCTCCCTCAACTTTCCCACACTAATGCAGATCGGATAACAGATAGGGTTGACTATATCCTTGGAAAGTCTCAACATAGATGACTGTTGTCTATCCAAGACTAGTGAAATACTACAAGTTCGATCTTCATCTGTTGCCTTGAAAAGCATGTTTACTGTGCATTGATCAGAGGACTCTGTGGCGTCTTCGTCTGGTTTTTCTTTCATTCACAGTTCCTCTCACTTTTGCTGAGTAAAAAATGATCACGTAAGGACCCCCACTGGCTTCTACTCCGAACAGCGTCGGATAATGTCTCAAATCTCTAAGTCGTATTTTGTCCGGGGCCCCAACCTGAGTTGTGAAAGGCAACAGAAGTCAGTCCTGTACAGATTTCTTTCATATCACATTTCATACACTGGGAGCAATGCCCTGTAGTAGCTGTTAATGTTTCCCACATTGTGCTGAAACTAGTTAAAGTGTTAGTAGAAAGTCAATGGTGTGGGCGACTGTTTCGTCTACTTCCTACCAAGGATGGTAAATGAAAGTTCTTTACACCGGAAGGATCATAATCTTACCAGTGATAGCCAAAGTAACAAAATGTGTAAAATTGTCTCGAAAATCCGGTAATCCCTGTAAACATTACTTGTGAATTCGGGCCTAAGCCCCAAATGCGATAAACACACTGTAACCAACTTATCGTTTTGGCGACCTAATCCAAACCAGTTAATTTGTTGACACTTACGTCTTGACGTTTAGTTACAGTTCCATGTCTTTCATTATTCGATGTGGATAGTCTTAAGACTTCACCGCACTGATCCAGGCAAATCGATTTATTTACAGGTCGGTATATCTTGAGTAATAGTGAAAGCCTTTGTCCTAAAGGAGCGGACTCGCTGGAACGAGTGAATATCAAGTTAGGTAAGAGTGGACTATACCGACGACCCTGAGCGACTTACCAGCCACTCGGAAAACGCCGCCGAGTTATAAGACCATTAACGGTAAAAAGCAATAGAATAAGTGGAATAGTGGTTTTAGAATGATAGATTACTCTTCACATGTTAAGTTATTCATTATAGTAGAACAAAAAGGTTGAATTTACACACTAGGAGTCTGAGAAGTGTTTCGAATCAGGGTTATAACTATGTCATCATTTAACATCAGCTATGATGTATAAGGGTTTGGGTTGGATGTTAGGGTTGTGTCAAGATTACGGATTAGGATAAAGGTCCACATCCAGAACTGATATAAGCTATAGTGCAATGATGCTTCGCAACCCATTTGTTTGCAAAATTATGAAAAATCGGGTTGGAATTTTGAGGCGGGAATTAAGGTGAGGGAAATGCTACCTGGTTACAATGAATCGAATCAAATACTTTAATAAACAATTTGCATCCATAAGTGTTCCTTGTGATTTAGCTTACGTATCATACCGTATTTACTGCCATATTGCGTCGTAGCATTTGAATAACCAAATATAGCTATTCTTCAATTGGCTAATAATAACATACAATGATTAAAACTACTTTTAATTACGCGCAAACTTATACGAGGCGGTACCTTAAATTGATTGATTAGCTAGATGCATACGTTTAACCCACGTTTCGGAGGGTGACAGTATGGAAGATTCAAAACAAGAACACTGAATAGCAACAGAAGACAATGATTCAAGACAAATTCGTTAGTTGAGTGTTTACGTACAACACGGTCTTCGTACCGAATCTGTAAGTTGCCTGATAATTTGTGGGTTAGCTTTCTAAAATGACTTTTCCAGAGCTGATGCTTCCTAAGGTTACCAACAAATAGCCATCACAACGCTAAAGACCTGGAACCATACCGTAACAATCAACTGAGAAAGTAAAGGAATAATTAATGAGGTTATAACTTTTAGACCAGATCAAATATCAGACAGCGGGTCCCAGGCTTTGATGCATGCTTAATTTATCCGGAAGATTAATAAGCATTTTGGCACCAAAGGTGATCTCAGTTAGTGATGAAAACCAGGAACGTAAATAGTAACACCTATATCTAACTCAAACTCCCATTCCCACATCCCCAAACTAATAACTAACCCTATTTCTACCCTATTATCCTGAAGGAGTTTAACATGTAGGTTTCAGTAATGTGGGAAGGATTTATAATAATAACCTAGCCGAAACCATCTGGTTTTAATTAGTTCTTCAGAAGGCTATTAAGAACTCATGCTGTTTTTCCGCCTTGTAAACTGTGGAGAATAACGGACGATGCACTATAATAGGGTGATAAAACCTAGTTAGTCAAGATAGATAAAACAGACGTCATGGTACGATAAAACAAAGTAAGAACAATTGAAAAAAAGCAACCAACCCGCCAAATGTCTTGAATTGATATCACAGCAAGAACTGTTTCAAACAAAATAGTGTTTGAGTGTCCTTAAAATGATGAGTATTTTGAAATATCTGAGATAATACACTGCCATATCTATGTGGTGGTAAGCTTCTCAGTCAAACATCCAGAGAGTGATATGAATATAAAGCGGACATTACATGTGGTTAATAATAATTTAAAAAGACAAGACCTATTATACATGCGTATTTTTTCTTATGGGTTGAGGCTCAGCCAAATTATTTGATTGGGAACATTTCATTCACATGACACTTTATGTAAGCGGCACTATCTTTAACTATCCCAACTAACCTTTTACCCGTTTGTATGGTTTTATTATCGTACATATAAACTCCACACTTTGTTTTAACATATCAAGGTAGTTCTAGCTTTGTTTTATCTTCGCCTAATTCTGATAGTCAGGTAAAATCTCAACAGAAAATGACTTATGTTATGAACTATACATTTATTTCAGTTATTTAATACACTCAGATTTGGATTACAGCAATCCGAAAGACTGCTATGTGTTCAGGAAGCACGCGGAAATGGCTATCAACGTCAATTATTGCTCATATAATTTTTCTTTCTTACTTCCGCCAAAAATGATTATACTTATAGTATATAGAATTGTTTATAGTTATATACCAGAAACTTATACGATGTTCAAAAATAGTTTGACGCAGAACTGCTCCAACCTACATTTAATAAGCAACTATATTTACAGGTGTTCATCACCACCTTAGTTAAGAAGTGAACTAAATTTTAATGATTTTAGAGCTTTGTAAAATGTGATTGTGATCTATTTCTGACTTGATAAATAGCGGATTTCATTTACTTGAGTTTACATTGATACAACTAACCACATTAGACGGACTAAACTTTTACCCAGCTGGTGGGCAACAACTGCGTCAAACTACTAATAAACTGGAATAAAAGCCATGTACCAATATATATACATATATTATTCGTCCCCAGATCAAATTTATTGTTCAGTGGTTCGTGCGAACATGACCCCTGACTGTTGCGATAGTGAGTCAATATAGACAGTAATGAGGCACCAAAAAATTGCTAACACATTTAAATCTCATCCATTTGTTGTTGACAAAGGGAACACAAAATCAAGTACTGCTAAGAGAAACTGATTGTTGCTTTTTGATTACATTAATTTAAAACCTACGAGTAGTGATCTTTCGGTCATCTACTCATTATTGACAAAGTCAGTATATCATTGATAAAAGAGGACGGTAGTTGCGTAAACCGGTATACTTGGATGTAAGACGGAGCCTTTTATTTTGAAGCATAGACTGAGTATAAACGATTTAAGCATAAAAATGGATAATAATCCCATTTTAGTCGTTCACCTATGTTATTGGGGAATTCGTGATAATAGAAACTTCCTGGATACATTACATCGAACCCGTTTTGAATTCCACATATGTCTAGTTGTATTCAACGATTTCCATCCGGATTAAATTGGTCATTTCTGGAAATTAACAGTTTGCTTACCAATTCAGCTACTTCTAATCACTACGATTGCTCTCATTGTCGCTGCTAAATCAGATGGAAAAATACAGAGTGCTTATAGTAAATACCACCAGATGCTTGGTATTGTTCTATCGCAGCAAAGTCGTCCCTCTGGAAATATATTGTGTATATATATATTGTGAGTTTTCTTGAGATAGACATAAATGATTTCCACTCATAGATCTCATTGGATAAAATCTCTGATGAATTTATTAACAGTGCCTCATTCTGGCGGCTCAGATACAATTTCCGCCGATCGCATTAAATATTTCTTCTATGATACTACAGGTCGTAAATCAATGGTCTTGATGGTGTCGTATAGTTTACGGGTGATCTCGCAATTCATGCTTGAAAAATCAATTTGCATAATGAACGTCCTTCAAAATGGTCTGATCGTGAACCGCCGCAAATACATTTACAATGTAATTAACGGTATTATGTTGTGTTATAACGGTATAATCATACAATAAAATTTTATTTTACTCTCCTAAAATTTGAGATCATTCTTGTGTCTCGCCGAATTCCTAGCTTATTTGAGATTAGCCACATGATTCGTTAGACTATTTCAATTCCATAAAATGAGGTTTAAGTGCATTCTATGTGCATACCGAAATGTTCGTTTGCTCTTCATCTTTTTCTTTTGTCTTTTAGACTCTTTCACACTACCTCAGCACAGTAAGTGCCTTCTACCTAAACTGAAATCAAACAAAAACTGAACGCTATAAAACAAACATTCTGTAAAATCCCTATTCAAGTTCTTATTTAATTCAATGTTACACACCATATCATGATTACGGGACCACCTGTATTCTATATAGTGCGTTGATTAGCTCCAGAGGCTTAGATCACTTCTACCGGTAATATTCTTGATATGTACTTCTTCTGATCGTCATGTCAGGCGGCCTCCACACGTTAATATTTATCAGTATCTAACTCATTTTATCAGGGTACTATCAAATCACGATGGACATCTGGAAGCGAGCGCGCGGACGTTTGTTATGTCTAATCACTAAAGTTTGAGCTGCTCACATAGTAGCAAACCTATTGCCTCATATTTTTCTTCATATTGAGTCAGCAAACTTAATGGTTTATCAAAGACCGGATCAGGACGTTTGCGCATCGCATTGAAGACATTGCGTCGATAATGTTTAAAAAAGATCAGACGATGCCGAACAAGTGTGTCATAAAGTAAAATTTCATTACCTATTCCTGACTGTTTGAATCTTAGTTTCACAGTTGTCAAAGATAACTGAACCACTGAACAATAAATTTGATCTGGGGATCGAATAATATATTTATTATAAATAAGAAGGGGGCTCGTAGAGTGACCAAGTCCTCGTAGCCGAGCCACATGTTATTTTTCGCCAAGGGGCTACTACTACCACTGCTACTCATTATAATCCTACGGTTATTCATAAGCTGAAAGATTACCCCGGAATAAAGCCACAGGAACTGGTTGGGAAATATATTTTATTATTCCAAAGTTTCTAGGTACATTCTCAAAACATATACAGTATTTGAGAGTCAAAAGAATTGGGTGGTTTTGTATCAACAATTTACGGTCACCCTAAAAACGATAGTCACAACCAGGGGATAACATAAATGTATGCTACGTGTTCTCGCGCATATGTTATGTGTTATTAAGTATTTTGGATGTTGTTATATATCAGCCATTAACAGCGTTTTTGCAGTCAAAAAGGAAACAACTTTTTTATTTATATCACACTCACCTACTAAGCAAATGTTCGCCGAAAGAGATACAAATGTTATTCCGTGTACGAACTGTATTGAATAAAATAAATAAGTATGTATGCACACCCTCGCGCTTTTGAAACAAACAGCCATCTCATTCCAATGTATTCTCAAGGTTATGCAGATAACACTTCATTGAGATCACGAAGATGCTCACAAGTTTGTGTTAAGACCTTGATCTGCCTACTTTAGATTAAGAACTTGACGCCGGTTTAACCTTGAGGGTAGTACTCATGAGTCCGAGGTGGGGTAGAGAGAAGAAAACTATTCTAGCACCTGGATGGCAGGAAAGTGTAGTGGCATTGGACCATAACCACACTATCCTCAAAGCTGAATACGAGATTACTCGGAAAATAGGTATTCAATATTTAACGCGAAGAAATACCTAACAATGGAGAAGGCGCGGACAATGAATTGAATGGACTGGAGTTGATCGAATGGCATGGCTCGGCCATGCAGGCGTGGTCCCTCTGAATGTTACCTTATATCTTCTATTCATACTAAATATATCATTCTTTCTCTAGCCTGACCTTGTTCTACATCATGTATTGGTAATTGATACGATACAGTGAGTTGGTGTAGTCGATGGTGTGACTTCCACGTAAGATCTTATAGATTAGGCAGTCATATCATGACAAATCTACAAATTTAGGATCAGGTCTATTATTAGAGCAGTACTAATATCATATTAGACCATAAGTTCTACATTGGTGAGCCCAACTAAAGAAACGCAACCTATTATTGTTAATCCTTATATCCACCTTAACCTTCTCAATCGGTTTTTATTTTTGTAAACCCAGTATTCTAATAGTCCTTTGATTAATGGTCACATATATTATCGTAATGTTATATCTATTAGTTCACATAACTTACTAACTCAATCGATAATAAAAGTTGATCATCTATATCAACTAATTAGCTTTGATGGTTCGTTAACAAGCTTTAATAGCATTTACCTGCTTCAGCGACATAAACTTGTTTAAACATCAAGCTCTAGCAAATATGACCTGTAAATAGCGTAAATATACATTGACTAACAATGCAATCAAGGATTGAATAGTTATCTGGATCTAATTCTTAGTGTTTCTTCGCTTAACACCTCATCCTGTTTTAAACTATGCACTATCCTTTTCTTCCGACCACTGCCTGCCTAATTTCATATTCTCGAGTTCCATTGCCAAACAACAAGGATGACACTTCTCTAAAAACATATGGTGAGTTTCAGCCATAATTTTCCTGCAATCATAAGGTCATTTTGGATGGCTCGTTCAATGGCTGACACAATTATCTGGATTCATTCGATTGTTTTGATCTGAGCGAGTAGCAACAGCATCAAGCACCTTGGAATTAATTGCCATACTGCATGTTTTATTGTGGATACTTTTGGATCATTACTCCTCACGAATGGCGTTATATATGTCGTCCACTGAATAATCTAATTTTCAAAAATAATCCAGGCGAGTTCAACTATTTTACTGGATGATTTTTCTGTACTTAACATGTATATGTTTTCCAGTTGTGTTTGCCACATATTTATAATTATCTTTAGGCTAAATGCAGTAACTTCTTATAGAATGTTTATAACGCATCATATTCCTGCCTGAAGTTTCACAAGCAGTCTAAACTTTAAAATTACTTGTCTGGTCATGTTCATTATTTTTAAATCGTCATATACGTCAACAACCTGCATGTTAACCTGGTTCATACATACGTTACACTATATCTCCATGTCTTCTTAATTTAGAA